ACCAACATTATCTCCCATGTCACTTTCTGTTCCTAATTATACTTTCAGTTGTACCAGATATTGATGGACATATCGGATCACACAGAAGAAATGGCTCCCTAAACAGCCAAAGGAGGTTTATATGTGTAATATATGAGTGGGATGAGGCACCTAAGGGAAGAACAAATGGGTTTCTAGGGGAACAAAAGTGTGTGATAATGTTTCTTTATGTAGGTGGGAATGGTCTTCAGTTTTTCTTCATTCCCGTAACTTTCCCTGGAAGAAGGAATTCATGGTAGCTTCATTTCCAGAAGTGTTTGCTTTTAGTGAGATAAAAGAAGTTCAGATAAGGCTTCTTTCTGTCTGTTGAATCTTAAATGTCTTTAGTTTAAAATAATCTTAATATTATCTCTGGGGATCTGAATATGTCCCCACATTTTGAAATTTAAACATCATTTTGGCTTTTTTGGGGGGAGGGGCATAATATGATCACACTCTATCTTATAATGGATCAAAAAAAAATCACAGAATACTGGAACCACACAGTTATTTGCAAAATTTCACCCATAGAGATTTCTGCTGTCTAAGACTTTACCTACATGCATTTCTTTACAATCTCACTTCATCAACCAGATGGGAAAAAGCATAACTAGAATCCAATATTATCCAAAGTTTAAGAAAGTGGGATTTTTAAAAAATTGGCAGGCAAGTATTAATGTCTGGTAACTGTCACACAGGAATACATTTTATTGGCAAAATGAAATAAAATGCCAGTCTTTTAGTATAATTTCTTTGAAAAATTATTTGAGGTAAATTAATATAACATAAAATTAACCATTTTAAAGTAAATAATTCAGTGGCATTTGGTACATTCACAATGTTGTGCAGCACCACCTCTATCTAGTTCCCAACCGTCTTCATCACTCCTGAAAGAGCTGGCATCCTTTAAGCAGTTGCTTCCCATTTCCCCTCCCCTAGCTCCTTGTAGCTATTGATTTGTGTACTATTTTATGGATTTACCTCTTCTAAATATTTCATATAAATGGAATCATACCATATGTGACTTTTTGTTTTGTCTGGTTTCTTTTTTTAACAAGTTTTGAAGGCTCATCCATGTTGTAGTATATATCAGTACTTCATTCCTTTTTATGCCTGAATAATATACCATTGTTTGTGCATACCATAATCTCTTTATCCATTCACTCTTTGATGGATATGTGGACTTTTGCCACCTTTGGGCAAAAGCCAATTGTGAAAAGTCCTTTGCTGAACATGCGTCCAGTTATAATTACTCTCTTAAGTTAAAAAAGATAGAAATTTAAAGAGACAGAAAAACATAATAATTCTTTAAGATAATAAGTAAATACTGTTAGAGTAAAAACATTTCCATATTCCACTACAGTGAATGATGAATTAACATCATCACTCTCAACAGCAGATGTTCTGGATGGAAATGACTTGGGCCTGATGTTTCTTTTTGTGTCCTCATGCCAAATATTCTTTAGATAAATATAAACAATGTAAATTTTAATGAAACTACCACCCATTACTTAAGTGTGGGCTGGCCATAGTGATTTCCTTCAAAAAAAAAAATGGAAAGGGGAGAAAGAAAGAGTAACTTTACAATGAAGAAACCAAACACAACCTGAGACAGGTGATCAAGGCTAACATCAGTGATATGTCATGTTAATAAAAGATATTCTTGCTATAATGTGATGAAAACAGCACTTGTCCTCTGTGGTTTTCCTCCCTAAATCATATAACCTAAGTCTAATCTCGAGAAAAACACCAGACAAACACTTATTGAGGAACACTCTGCAAAATATATAATAGTCCAGATTTTCCAGGTCATCAAAAACAAAGGAAGTCTGAGAAATTGTCACAGCCAAAAGGAACCTGAGGAGATATTGTGGCTAAATATAAAGTCAGATCCTGTTTGGGATCCTGGAAAAGAAAACAGACATTAAGTAAAAACTAGGGAAATCTGAATAAATTATGGATTTTAGTTAATAGCAATATATTGTCATAGCAGAATTGCACTGGACATAGTTAAACAGCCCAGAAAAACTTTATTCAAGGTTATTGCAATAAGGAAGGGGGACCAGAATGCAGTCTGAACTCAACTCTGCTGACAAGAAGGGCTGAGAAGTTGTTAAGAGCTGGGGTAGGTGTGAGTGCAGGGGGATCAAGGGCCATTTGTGTTTATTAATTGTCCTTTCCAAAGGAAAATAAACTTTCTTGAATCTTCATGACAGGAGGTAGTTTTAGAACTTGTACTAAGCCTCCCAAGGTAAAGTTAGGCTCCTCCCCTTCCACAGAAACTGGGAGATAGAAGCTCTATCTCCCTTGACCATTACCTTTCAAAGAGATGGCTCCCAGGTCATGGAAAACGTGGGCACAATTCACTGTTGCAAGGATGTGGAAACAACCCAAGTGCCCATCAATTCATGAGTGGATTAATAAAATTTGGTATATGTACATAATGGAATATTACTCAATTATAAAAAACAACAGTGATCTAGTACCTCTTATATTTTCCTGGATAGAGCTTGAGCCCATCCTCCAAAGTGAGGTATCACAAGAACGGAAGAATAGGCTCCATATGTACTTGCCATCAAATTGGCACTGACTGATCAACGCTATGGTGCTCACGTGGTAGTAATATTCTTCAGGGATTGGGGGATTGGAGGTGGGTAAACTCACAACTAACGGACGGGGTGAGCGTTGTAGGGGGGAAAAGCCACGCCTCAAATCATGGTTTGGGTGTGGCGAAGTCATAACATGTAACCAAAATGTTTGTACCCCCATAATATCCTGAAATAAATAAATAAAAAAGAAAAGAAAAAGGCAGGCCTAGGTTGTAAAACCAACAAGAGGATTTTTAAGAGATTTACGTCTCAGAGGAGAAGAGAAAGAATTTACAGTGACAGGGCTCCTAAAGTAAATGCTCTCAGAAGAGGGAGCGGAGGGAACTTTATGGTTAAGTCTTCTGGATTCTGTAAAAGCCAGGTGAGAAGGAGATCAGGGGCCCAAAAGCAGGAAGAAGACATTGTGAAGTTTAGCATAGCTGAGGGGAACACTAAGATCAGCTTGGTCATATGGATATGGGTTCATTAATTGTAACACATGTGCCATATTAATGTAAGATGTTAAGAACAGGGGAAAGTAGGCTTAGGTTATATGGGAACTCTCTGTACTATTTCCCAATTTTTCTGTAAATCTAAAACTGTTTCAAAATACAAAATGTGTTTTTAAAAATTACCATAATTTATAGCTACCAGTCCTAATAGTTATGTACTTTCTTCCTGCTTCTTACTCAACTTTGGTGACATAAAGATTCTATATATTCCCAGAGGAGCTTTCCCAATGAATTATTGAAGTCAGAATTATTTTTTTTCTTTTCATAATCAGTCTCAAAAGAGACTCAGTGAAGCAAATTCCAAAGGATACGATAAACCCATAACAAAATCATGTTATTACCATTTTAAGAATGTGAAATGTTAGGTAAAGGCCTAACCTATAAAAGCTTAGCTACTATAACATACTTTCATAAAAGTGGGCCTGAAGAAAAGTGGATTTCAATTTACATCCCAGCTTCACCACTTTAAACTATTGGTTTAAGCAAGTTGCTTATTAATTATTTTTTTAAAAAGGAAAAAAATGTCTACATTGTGCCTAATTTCTATAAACCACTTGTTTGTTTTTCTGTCTCATAGGACCGTGCACAAAACCTGAACGAAAGGCGAACCACTACCACCACCCTCACCGTGGATATTCTGGATGGAGATGACTTGGGTCCAATGTTTCTTCCTTGTGTCCTTGTGCCAAACACTCGTGACTGTCGTCCACTCACTTACCAAGCTGCTATACCTGAGTTGAGAACTCCGGTAAATATACTCTCATCTTTTCCCCTTCATTTACAACTTTCTAAACCCAATGGGATCGTGTTCTAGTATTTTGCAGACATGTTGATTGATAATAGCAAAATTCACAATGTTGAAAAATATTTATATTCAAAACTATTCAGAGAGTATTAGTAAATTTTGGGTCAAAATGCATAATTATATCATTATCAAAGTAGTAAATATGTCAATCCTTCTGACACTGGTTATTTTATTTTATTTTTCCCACTAATAAATCACAGCAGAGTTCAGTTGCCAGTATATTCTGGAAAACTCCAAGAAACAACTCTGGCATTTCCTCAAATTCACATTTAAACACACGTCCCAAGTCAGAGGACACAAAAGTCAATGGAATAGTCTTTTAGCCCCTAGAGTCTGAAATGTTACTGGGGATTATACTTGGCTGTTTGGAGGTAGGAGCTAACATTAATCCTGAATACAAATACCTATCCCTTAAAGATATATTTAAAAGAAGTGGGGAGGTGAAGCATGAATACATATTTTCTACACTCAGTCCTGCATTTTTGGAAAAATGCTAATAGAGCTATACATTTCTGCCGGTTTTGAATCCATGCCTTGGACCTCCCTAGATGATAGATGTACATATCTAACAATAAAAATTGTAAGACAAACAAATATCCTGCTGAAGCTAAAATATCAATTTCTCCCCTAAAAGTAAAGTAAAGTAAATACATATATATTCTGTTTTAGAAAAGTCAATTGCCTAGAAGTCAATTATTTGATTAATGTTTTTGCTGTTTCTCTGAGAAGCATTCAGCTCTCTGGATTCCCAGCGTGACACACAATGTCAGAATTTGTTGGAAGATATTTGAATTTTTTCTCAAAATACATGAGAACTTTACTTTTGTGGGTCCTCACCGTATTAGAGATTTTGAAGAATAAAACAGGAAAGACTTCTAAATATAAAATAAATTACATTTCATTTTAGTCACTTCAAAAAGGCTTATCCAATCTTGTAATATGTCTGGGGGCTTTACTCACAGTAGATCTTAAATGGTTGAGAATTACCTTTGTGTATACTAGCATAAATGATCACTGGTCCGGTAGATTTGCATTAACAAAAAAAGCCGGAGGGAAAAGAATAAATGTTATCATGTGCACTGAATGAAAAAAATGTATAAATTTTCAGCTAAATGAAGTAATTTTGCAGACAATAAGGCTGATCAGAACTTGTCTGGACAAATAGATGTATTAATAAACTACCTAAAGTTATATGCCATGATATTATTTTGTTGAATACCAGTACAAAAACTATTAAAGATGGTGGGCATTAAACTTTCCTTTGAAAGGTTTAGTGGAAGTAATGATGAGAAAGGTAATTTTTAATATTAATTTATGTTTCTGAGTTAATCGATATAGCTAGTGTATCAGCGAGATCCTATGAAGGGATGTACTGAGATTACACTAATTAAATCCAGTGAATCAGTCTGATGACTGTTTAACAGTTCTCGGTGCATTGAGGAAAGTTAAAGGAAGACAAAGGATCCTGCCTAAGAAGCACAATATGTTGACTTAATTTTATAAAGGATCATTGAGCCTCCTTTCCTCTCTATCCTAGGTTACAGATTAACCCTCTCTCTCGTTCCTATACAGTATAGTGCTACAGACCAGGCCGCGCTCCATATTTGGGGTAATGATGTAAATGATAATGATGGCTAAAGATTTTATAGTGTCGAGTTTATAATGAACTGTGCTAAGCTCTGCACAAATATTAACTGGTTGAATATACACAAGAACTCTTTTGGATAAATACTCCCATTAAGCTCATTTTACAAATGAATTCTTGGGGGTAAAAATGTTTAAGTAACTTTCTATGGTCATGTAAATAAAAAGTAATACATATATATACATATAAGTAATGTATATACACAGACATATATACACACA